CGTACTTGGTCTGGTCGACCTTGGACCCGACGCGCACGACGTGACCGAGGATTTCGTGGCCGACGACCATCGGGTACTTGATCTCGCCCCAGCCGCCCGTCAGCGTGTGCAAGTCCGAGCCGCAAATGCCGCAGTGCGTCACCTTGATCTCAACGTCGTACTCTTCGTCAAAGGGCTTGGCCGCGTACGTGTGGGGCTTGACGTCGAGCGACGGCTCAAAGGCGGCTTGCCCGTGGTAAATGTTATTGGAGGCCATTGTGTCGATTGGAGGAGAACTGAATTGTGCGCTTTGGATGGCGTGCGCTTGGGCGACGATCCCGGTTCTACGTATTAGTAAAAAGGGCTATATTGCCGCCGTGTATGCTAGTCTTTAGCGTGCACTTACTACGAATACTCGTATTAATACAAGTACTAGTACGGGCGTATTACTCGCCTCCTGCTGTCGTCCGTGGCATTGTCCCGCCCACGGCTTGTATAGAATTTATGCTGTACTACCAATCCAGAAACCATCTGCTCAAACATCTGGTGAGACTACCTTCACTCAGAGGATCGCGCACAGCCGTCGACTTCCCAAAAAGACGTCGTCCGATTTCAGTGTGAACATCTGTCCTCAAACGCTGCCAGGCGATGAGTAGTAAGTGCACGCTAAAGACTAGCATACAAGGTGTCAATAGCCCTCTTTTACGACGTAGAACCGGGATCGTCGCCCAAACGCAATCCAAAGCGCACAATTCAGTTCTCCTCCAATCGACACAATGGCCTCCAATAACATTTACCACGGGCAAGCCGCCTTTGAGCCGTCGCTCGACGTCAAGCCCCACACGTTCGCGGCCAAGCCCTTTGACGAAGAGTACGACGTTGAGATCAAGGTGACGCACTGCGGCATTTGCGGCTCGGACTTGCACACGCTGACGGGCGGCTGGGGCGAGATCAAGTACCCGATGGTCGTCGGCCACGAAATCCTCGGTCACGTCGTGCGCGTCGGGTCCAAGGTCGACCAGACCAAGTACGCGATCGGGACGCGCGTCGGCGTCGGTGCCCAGTGCGGCAGCTGCCTCGACTGCGCGCTGTGCGACCAGGACAAGGAGCAGCTCTGCCCCAGCTTCCTCGGCACGTACAACGGCGAGACCAAGGACGGGTACATCACGCAGGGCGGGTACGCCGACTACTACCGCTGCCACGCTCAGTTTGTCGTGCCGATTCCGGACGCGCTTCCGTCGGCCAGCGCCGCCCCGATGCTCTGCGCCGGTATCACGACGTACGCGCCGCTAAAGGCGCACGGCGCGGGACCGGGCATGAAGGTTGGTATCTTGGGCGTCGGCGGTCTCGGCCACTTGGGTATTCAGTGGGCCGTCGCGCTCGGTGCGCATGTCACGGCGCTCTCGTCCTCGAACCGGAAGGAGCAAGAGTGCAAGGACGTGCTTGGCGCGCACGCGTTTCTCAACTACAACGATCCTGCGGCCGCCGCCGCCGCCGCGCAGCAGTTGGACCTCGTCCTCTGCACGTCGTACGGCGCCGACACCAACTGGGGCGCGCTCTTCAATCTGGTTGCGACCGAAGGCAAGTTTGTGCTCATCGCGGTGCCCGAGAAGCCGATTTCGTTCCATGCGTTCGCCGTCGTGCCGCGCCAGATCACGATTGTCGGCTCCATCATCGGGTCGCCGTCCATGATCGAAGAGATGCTGCAGTTTGCGGTCGAGAAGAACGTGCGCTCGATCGTGCAAGTGATGCCGATGGCGGAGGCCGCCGCCGCGCTGCAAAAGGTGCACAACGGGGACGTGCGCTTCCGCATTGTGCTTGAAAACTAAGGAAATGCGAGCGCACTGTTTATATCCTCTGAGCTGCGTTGTATTCTTATTCCTATTGGCGTGCTAGCTGTGAGCGATCCAAGCTATGTGTCGTCGTCATCTTGTTGGAGAGGTCCGGTACGGCGAGTCGAAAGACGATGATGATCTTACATGTTGCCAGCCTTCCCAGCCAGCAATTTCCCGCGCAAACTACCCTCACGACCGCCGAAAAGGCGAGTCCTCTGCGGTATCGATATCTTTTAGCAAAATTGTATTAGTACGCTGCGTAGTATGTCATTGGTGCATTGGTGGTACCCGACACGATGAGTCTACGCGACGTCGTCGCTCGACACGGACGTATTGTACGACCGTGCATTCTTGGTGTCCATAGGGACGTCCTGGCCCTCGTACTGGCGGCGGAGGCGCTTGGCGTACCACGCGTTCCAGTATCCGAGGCTCGCGAGCGTGAGCACGATCAGTGTCGGTGAAATGTACGCCATCGTGTGGATCGGGAGGAGGTAGATGAGCACGAGGCGCAGCAGAGCCTCCACGACGAGGCCCGCGCCCCAGACGTAGCACATGAGGTTGGTCGACGTGCGCACGATGGCACTCGCATACAACGCGTCGAGGTGCGATGTCGCGTCGGGCCCGGCCATTTGCCGGTAGTAGCGCCAAATGAGGTTTTCCGTGCCGCAACCGACCGAGAAGAGAAAGGCGAGGCCGAAGACAAACGTCAAGAACGAGTCTTTGACGAGGAGGAGCTTGGCGTCGGACGTGATGGCCGCAAGCGCCGCCGAGAGCGCGATCGAGACCACGACGAGACACGAGATCGGGTCGAGCGACCGGCGCTGCACCATGACAAGGACGCTGTTGAGCGCCGGCGGAATGGCCGAGAGGAGCAGCGCCACGACGTCATTGGTGTACGACGATGCAATGCTGTAGATGACCACGGGCGCGGCAAAGTCGACGAGCACCATGCGCAGAATGTGCCAGCGCACGTGCGAGCGGTTCACGGCCCCGTCGGTCGCCCTCGAATCAGCCATCGTCGAACTTATGAAAAGAGCATTTTGGTATCTTGTCGGTGGAACTTTTCAATATTTCGATTACGCCGAGTGGCGAGTCGTCATCGGCGCAAGAATGGCCAATCACACGGCGTGGCGCCATGCTGATCCTCCTCTTTGAACGCAGCCAGACCACCATCACTACATAAGCTTAGTAGCTCGCGAGCTTTGACTCGTCGCAGTTGCCGTTCTAGACAGTACTATGGATCCCAGCCATTTCTTGTGCCATTCCTTTGCGAACGAGTGTGGAATACGGGTCCAGTGTAGGAGTCGCATATGGCTTCCAGGACACCTCGCTATGGCGTGTGGCTGTCTCATTACCCTTCCAGAGAAATGTAGCCCTGCCAGTACACGGCGCTTTAGGCTAGTCCATACTGAGATTGCACTTGCGCAGAAACGCCATCAAAGCCATCCCGCCAAAGCTGTAGTAGAAAGACGGGGCATGGGGACCGAGGAAGACACACAAAAGGACACGTCATTCCTTTCCATTATTCGATTACGAATCAACGCAAAGGAAGAACGCCAAGAACCAATGTTTGCACCACGAGATACACACCGTTTAGATGATGCCAATGCGGTTGGCGACATCGAGGGCATCGTAGTCGGCGGTGAGGCGCACGTACGCCTTCTTCTGGCCATCCGGGCTACGTAAAACGAGGATGAGCCACATGAACAATCGACGCAGAGGAACATGCAGGAGACGGGAGGCCATGATGCGCCATGCATGTGGGTCGATCAACCCGCATGGCGCGGCCAGGAAGAGTGTCTCGCTCAGCTATATCGACGCGATGGCTTTACCGGATGAGGGTGTTGATCTTCAACGCCTTGATGTCGTACATCTGCTTGACGGCGTCCTTGATCTGGCGCTTGTTGGCGAGCTTGTCGACGAGGAAGACGAGCGTGTTGTTGTCTTCGATCTTCTTCATGGCGCTCTCCGTCGTCAAGGGGGACTTGATGATGCGGTACTTGTCCATCTTGTTGCGGCGGGGGACGGCATGGCGAGCGACCTTAGGGGCACGGGCCAAGGCGAGCGTCTTGGGCTTGTAGAAGTGGGTCTTCGTGCGGATCTCGACGACCTTGCCGTGCTTGCCCTTCAACACGCGGCGGGCGGTGTTGACGGCCTTCTTGGCAGCGGTGGTCTTGGCGGCGATCTTCTTGGCAGGGGCCATCTTTGGTTCTTGTCCTTGAATGAAAAGTGATTTCACGCGCTTGGCCATCGAAAAACCATTGGTTCTCCTCAGTCCTGTCCGGATACGCACCGTCCGGATAAATTCGTCTCGGTGTTTGTATCCACCACCCGTAGTTCGAAGCTGGGGCAGACAAGAAATGCTGCGATGCCATTGGGGCCACGATCTTCGCTTCTTCGCGACCACTTGCTTGGAGTCAAACGGCCAAGGTCCTGCCACGGCGACGCCATGGCGTCCAGAAGCAAGAGCGTTGTAGCACTGCGCATGAACATCTCGACGACTACTCTACGATATTCTAGATATTAATTGTACTACCCGGATCCCATGGCTGCTTGACTTCCTTCCCATCTCAAGCCGAACGACGCCTCGCATTGCCCCGAGGCCAGCAAAAGCTGTGGCCATCCGCGGAGGTCCTCGCGTAGTATCAACTTTGAGAAGATTGGTGTATCGACTGTGTCGAGTCCAACAATCTGCGAGCTTTGGGAATCAATGGCAACGCAGCGCTGCCGTCGCAGATGTTGGGTCACGCCATGCGAAATGATCGCCTTTCGAGTCACGGAATCAAGGGCCATGGTGACCAAGCGCTGCTACTGCGCACCAGTGCGTGCGTCCACCGCGCTGTGTGCTGCATGGACACTCGTTTAAAGCATGGTCATCATTCTTATCGCATCGTCACGGATTGCAGGACCACCGTGTTGTCTGCAGAGACTTGCGAGAGAAGATGGATCGCCAATCGCATCTTGTTGCGTGATTTCAACTTCGATCCAACCGAAGCAAAAGATCGTCACGCCGCGCCTGGCTCGCGCGTCTGGCTCGAGACACGCTGGAGCCTGCGTGGCGACCGCCGATCAGCCTCAAGTCGTTGCGTTTCCTTCTTCATGGGGCTGGTGCGCGAAGAGAGGGCGCGACTGTCACAAAGGCCCACGGTGCCGGCGCCATGCCTAACCGCGACGAAAGGCCAGCGCACTCCAATTGGATGCGACCACACTGCCAGCTGGCAGGTCGACTTCGACTTGCTTCATGTAACCGGTTGGCTTCCTGACCGAGACATACAAACAAGAAGTGTACGAGTCGGCTCGACGCAGTCGGCGCCAACTTCGGCCAGGCCTCAGCCGTGGCAGAATGGTACGCCGAGCATGGCCAGTCACCGATTTGCACGCTTCCAGTGCGATCGCGGGCGCGTAGATTCTGTCCATTGTTGCATACTTCCTATTTATAACACCACTGCATTCATGGACCTGAGTTGCCGCGAGGACCTTGTTGTCGACAAGGCGGCGTCCGTGCTGGCTGTGGCGGACGATAGTAGCACGAGCGCCGACGAGCTCCAGTGCCTCCGCGCACGCGAGCGCACGACCGCGCCCAGCGCCATGTACTTGCTCCTCGTGCAAGCCCAAGGCGTCGTCGAAGCGTCGCGCGACCACATCTGCTGCTGGATCGCCGAGGTACATCGTCACTGCGCACACAACGCACGCACGCACTCATGATTGACGCCGCAGGTGGCCCTCGAGTTTCACTTTTCGCGCATCACAACCGCGGTCGCCATCAACTACCTCGACCGGTACCTCTCGCAGCACGCGTCGACGCCGCACCGGCTCCAGCTCGTGGGCCTCGTCGCGATCCTCATCGCGTCCAAGTTTCACGAGAAGGACGGCATCTCCATGGACGAAGCCAAGGAGATTGCGGCCAACGTCTTTACCGTCGAGGACATTACGCGCATGGAGGCCAATATGCTATCGGCGCTCCAATGGAAGCTGCATGCGGTCGTGCCCGCCATGTACATCGACACGTTTCTGCAGGACCTCCAGCAAACGCGGCTCGTATCGCCGATCTGCGCTGACATCACCGCCGTCCACCACACTGCGTACAGCCAGCTCGGGTTTTTGCCGTCCATTGCGGCAATCGCGATCACGCACCTCGCGTACGACGTGCACGGGCTCTCGAAGGCGCCTTTGGATGCGTACTTGAAGCGCATGGACATGGACGCCGAGAGCGACGACGTCGCCGAGTGCCAGCGCCAGCTGCGCATGCTTCTTCCAGCGCACCTGTGGAAAACGAAGAAGCGAGACCGGTCGCCGAGCCCGTCCGGCGTCGACGAGGTGCTTCATAGCCCCGAGCCCGACGACGACGATGAGTCTGTCGTACCAGAGGCGAAGCGGGCAAAGACCAGCTAGCACTGCGTAGCCGACGACGTGCGATGTTGTACCATTTAACTTACTGATACCTTGTCACTATTGCGCCTGGCGGGGCCGCGTTGCGGGACATGTTGGCCCGCACGTCAGAGTGTGGGACGGACTTTTGGGTCGAGCTAAACGATAGCAGGTCTCTGGCTGAGCCGCTTGGTAACGATCGCGGCCATGGCGATCTTGGCGACTCCAAATTTACATGCTGAAACCTTCAACGGCATCCGGATGTATCATCCGGAAGAGCCAGGATGTTCGAAACCCATATTTCGTGCAGCAAGATGAGCAGCATGTCGGACGCGCTGCCCGAGCTCCTGGACGTGGTCGACGTCCGCATCCGGCCAGCCGTCGGCAGCTCGTCTCTCAGTGCGAGCGTGAGCGCAGGACCTGCGAGCGCGCTGCAGTCGGACGCAATGGCCCTCGACATGAACCGCATGGCGATTGCCGTAGACGTGCAAGAATGCTGCCTGCCGCCAGGGTGGCGGGCTCGCTACTCGCCGCACCATCGAAAGGTCTGCTACTTCCACGAGTCGGGTATGCAACAATGGACCCATCCCAGTGCGCCGTAAACGATTCGACGTGCGCCAACCTCTTCCACAGCACGTGCTCAGTGGGAAGATTCGATAGACCGCCGACATGCGCTCTTGATCGATGACTGCACCGTGTGGCCTCTCACAACGTCTCCAAGCCGGCCATCACGAGCGCTCTCTACATGTATTCCGTTGCGTCAAATGCAAGTTTGCTCTTTGAGTTTGCACGTGAAAGATCCATGCCTGTATGCGTCGTGCGCGGTACTAGTAGTACAATTGAAAGAATCGCACGACGTCACAGCTACTACCTACAGAGCAAGCCCGTGGAAGACATAAACATATTAGTACACGAGGGTACGTTTGAGGCCGGCGCATTGGGAATACGACATCACATGCTTTGCAGTCTCATACACAACATGTACTGGTGTCGTAGCTCGAAACCTCGTGCAGCATCTGCACCTTCCTAAAGAGCACATTCGTCAAAGCTGGCACGTACACACCACGTACATAGCTCGTCATTCTAGCGCAATTGCAATCTCATGGTGTGCTTTGGCTCAGACATACTGGTACCACAAGAATCTGGATTCCATTCCCCACTACGCACTCGGTAATGTCAGCCATCGCTGTACATCGATCGCGAGATGCAAGAGCACCATGCCCGATTCCAGCCTCGCCAAACTGACGAACGTTAAGTCCCCTGCCTGGTTTTTTTATACACCTGCACCCTGCCCTGCACAATAGTGTTGATGCAGCATGACCTCATGCACCATTGGCTCCAGCAACTCTCTGACCAGTGATCGCCATGATTGTCATCCATCACACTGAAGAAGACGAGACGAGCTCGGCCGCGATGTCGAGACCGTGCCGACATCCGTAGCACCGCAAGACGGACTGACGCGCTGGTGTTGTGTCGCCATTGGGTCGAAGGAGCTGGAATAACGTTACGATTCGTCAAGCTCTCTTTTGACCCTTCGATGTGTCACCCACCCACAACCCACTCGGTACCCTGCCCTTGCTGGCTGCTAGCACGTCCAGCCCTGCAGTCAAGCAGTGCTGGCACACATGACGACGCTAAAGCACCCACGTGCCACGTGGTATGTTTGTCCAACGCACAACGACTACAGAGCGGACTGATTTCACGCCCTGTCCGTGTTGACGCCTGCAGCTCTATATTCGTCGTCTCCAGCTGTTGTGAGCAGATGGACCAAAATCACACCAATCAACTATCGAAATGCGCATTAACGCAATCCAAGTGGCTATAATTGAGTGTTTTCTACCAATCGCATCACAGGATGACCGCAAGCTCGCGCCTGGCCTCATTTGTTGGATTGACGGGGATATCGCCACTCTGCAACTGACGTAGCGGCCTTGTCCAGCTTTGCGCCATTGCCAATCCCACGGCGAATATGGATCGATCCAGCCTTGGCAGCGCAAGCGCGTCCGCGGGCAGCCATACCTACCATGCTAGCGCACTTCGAGCACTTGATGACAGCGCGTCCGGCAGCACGGACGGCAGCATCAACTTCCCGCCCGACGACGACAGCTCCTCCAGCAACGGCTACTTTGACTACGGCATTGGCAGTCCGGACGAGACGGCGCTGTACGAAGGAGTGACCATCGGCGCCGGCTCGCTCGTGCTCGTGGTTCTATTCGGTTGTTTCTGGTGGATCTTGCGACGACGACGACTACGGCGACATGCCTCGATGAGGGCCACGACAACACCATTATAAGGCACGTTTATGCATGAGTCCTTTGCTCCTTTCTGCAACGCCTGACGTGCAAGGCGACGTCAACCTCTCATTTATGAGTAGCATATTTACCCTATGTAATGTTGCTCCGAACTGCCGGGGTCATTTGCTGTGCGTCCACCTTTGGTAACATCCGTGTACTTGCTGCTGTTGCGCCGTCGAGCCCAGCGCTGGGTCAAGGCGCCGAGCGCGCTAGCGTTTTGGGAGCGATGCTATTTGGTGGTCTAAAATGACCACTCCTAATAAACTGCATCAAGCGCCAGCATCACGCTTTCACCAGCCAGAGGCATTCACACTGGCATTCACATAAGCGATAACGGTATTTGTTTGCAAAGTATACTTTGCGTACTTGATTTAACGTGCTCTCACGGTCTCGCCTTTGTCTGGGATCGTCCAGGAACAGCACTTCAATGTACAGTTGGGTGTTATGAGACGTACCTGCCCTGGAAACGAATTCAATATTCGTTTTCAAGGGATATTGAGCGCTCATGCTGTCTGCGCTCGCAGCGTCGGTCCTGGGCCGCGTGCTTTGGATCAACTCGCCCTTGCAGCTTCTCCTGGACAATGGAGCGCTCTTCATGCTCGAGATGATCTCATATGCTTGCGCCATCTTCATGGTCCTCCATGCGCTTGGCTCGCCCCGACGAACCATGATCGTGCTCGGAACCATCTTTGTCTACCACCTCGTGCTCCTGGGCCTTGGGCGCATCGACGCTGACGTGACCATCACGTGGTATGCCCAAGGCATGGTACGCTTCGCCCTCAATGATTATTTCGAGTGCTACCATGCGCGTCTAGATCATGCTTGGCGGAGGCCACTTGCCTCTGTACCTCGTCGTGCTCCATACGCTCTTCTACTACGTGTACAGCTCGATGCGCTATGGAAGCATGTGCCTCAGTAGGACGATGTAGGGCCTACATTACGACCCAACGACTCCATCTCCAAGACTATGCGAGCGCCTGCGTCTTTGTCGTCGTCGTCGTGGGCCTCAATTTCCCACTCGAGCTCATGGGGCCCAAGTTCATCTTCTGGACCTTCCACGACACGGAGCCGACGCTAAAAGAGCGCTTCCTCTCGATTCCGATCGCCATCTTGCTTGCGCATATTGCGTCGGCGCTCTCGTTCTACTCGACGCTCTGGGGCGCCATCTCGTACCACCCCATCGTCATTGCCACATTATGATGTAGTATGTGCGGCGATAGGCTGGGGCTCGAAGGCCACGTGTACCACGAAGAGCAAGCCGTGGCCGAGCACATGTACCCGATCGCGTCGATCTTGGTGTCGATTCCGCTCTCGGTGTTTTACTTTGCCATGCTCTTCCACCTTGTCTGCGACCTGCTCTTGATCCAGCCCCAGGTACACTCTTCTTGCTGGAGGTTTCTAACATCCTCTTGCATCTTGTCCTAGATCTTGCTGCTCGCGCTTGTAGCGCTCAGCATCGCCATCATTTGGACGTGTGATCGCCTCGGAGGTATTGCGGGAAATCGTCCTCGGATGCCAATGACGACCTGTAGGCGACTTGGGGCCGCCCCAGATTCCGCCGTGGGTCTATGATGGCGAGTGGACCAGTGCGTGGTACGACCACGCACTGGTGCAAGCCGTGTTTCTCTACACCGGCATCCTCGTCCTCCTCACGCTCGTGATCAACCCGACGCGGCTCACGTCCTTGAGCTTTCACCAGCGCCTCGGCGACTGCTCGATCGACACGACGTACACGACGCTCTTGGCGACCAGGCAGACGCGCGCCATGTACCTCTGCTCGAAAGCATACGACGAAGAGTTCACCTTTTGCAACGTGCCGTCGTCGCAGGTGCGGCGGGATTCTGCTATCGCAGGACGACGCATCTCATTGTCTTGTAGCTCTACACGTATGAGCCATGGTACGCGGTCTGCGGCCGCAAGTACGAGCACAAGGCGTTCCCCAACTACCTCGTGTGCATGCTCGTGGCCACAACCGCCATTGTCTTGGGCTTGCGCGCTGCGTATGGCGTTGTGCGCCCGACCTACGTGCAACGCTTCATGGGCCCCAAGGCATAGCCTTCTTGTAATAGAGCGTGTGTCAGGCAAGAGGCTTGACAAGCATTAGTAGTGGTTGCTTTGGGGCAATTTGGATGTTGCGAAAAGTTATGAGACGAGGTATCATCGAGAGGGGGGTGGTTTAATTTTATCATCTAGCAGCGCCATTTACAAAGCGCGGGACGTCGTGCGCTTGACGGCGGCAATGATGTCGTGGACCTGGGGCACGGCGATGCGCTCGAGGTTCTCGGCGTACGGCATCGGGATGTCGGCGCCCGTCACGCGCTCCATGGGCGCGTCCAAATAATCAAAGGCCTCGGTTTCCATGAGGATACCGGCGATTTCGGCGCCAATGCCGTGCTGACCCCAGCCTTCTTCGACCGAGACGATGCGCGACGTCTTCTTGACCGACTCGATAATCGTGTCGCGGTCGAGCGGGCGGATCGAGCGGAGGTTGATGACCTCGACGTCAATGCCTTCCTTGGCGAGCTCGGCGGCGGCTTCGATCGCGACGGCGACCATGCGCGAGAACGTGACGATCGTCACGTCCTTGCCGGCCTTCATGATCTTGGCCTTGCCAAACGGGATGACAAAGTCCTTGTCCTGGGCCTCCTTGCTCACGGGGAACGAGACACCGTAGAGGAGTTCGTTTTCCAAGACGACGACCGGGTTCGGGTCACGGATCGCGGCCTTGAGGAGACCACGGGCATCCTCGGCATCGTACGGGACGACGACCTTGAGGCCGGGCACCGAGCCGTACCAGGCGGCAAAGCACTGCGAGTGCTGGGCAGCGACGCCAGCGGCGACACCGTTGGAGCCGCGGAAGACGATCGGGACGTTGATGTCACCGTTGGACATGTAAAACTGCTTGGCGGCCGAGTTGATGATCTGATCGATGGCCTGCATGGCAAAGTTGAACGTCATAAACTCGACGATGGGCTTGGTGCCATGGTACGCGGCGCCGACGCAGAGACCGGTGAAGCCCATTTCCGTGATAGGCGTGTCCCAGATGCGCTTCTCGCCGTACTTGTCGTAGAGGCCCTTGGAGACCTTGTACGCGCCGTTGTACTTGGCGACCTCTTCGCCCATGAGGAAGACGCTCTCGTCGCGGGCAAGCTCCTCGTCCATGGCCGTGTTCAAGGCGTCGCGGACCGTCATGTTGTCGGAGACGGTCGCCATGAAGCGGGCGCGGACCGGGCCGGCGCGGACCGAGCGAGCAAGACGGGACAGCATCGTGATGATTGGTCGCAAGCAATTCAATGTATGATTCAGCGTCCCGAGTTGACTGCCCAAATCACCACACAAACTTTATCTTGCGAAATTTAATTCCCTTTTGATGCGCGTTTTTCCGCCTTGACATAGAGCGGCGCCGTCTTTTTTACAGCCGCCGCATGATTTTATTCCGCTTTCCATCGACGGGTTTCTACACCCGCTCCCGACGGCAATAAATTAAGCACCGGCCAGAACGCAAATAGTGTAAGGGACGCGGACAGTATTTCTTGCCGAAGGCCGATGAACCAACAGCCTTCCGAATGGCCACATTGCGTCATGGCTGCAAGGGCTGAGGTAGTGGCGTTGAACAGGAGAATAAAAGGGTGTAATACCTTTTTGTTGCCACCGTGGTTTCGAGAACCGAGTTGCGTGGTTGCCTCGAGGTAGTCGCCGACGCGATGTTTAAGATACACTATTTCATGTTAAATGATGCACAATGTCTTTTTTTAAACGAAGTGGGACGTATACTATATGCGTGGAAAGCCCCTGCCTGGTTTAAAAATACACTGTTTCATATTGTATTTGTATACGAAATGTGTATTTTATTCCACTGGATTTCTGCTGTCGGGAACCGACGTCCGCAGCTGTTTCGAGTGAAGTCATCACCGCCGAGGGGATATGACGCAAACGCCCGGCCCGACGCTCCGCGGGGCGGCGCCGGCCATGGCCGCCGACGCGGACGCCTCGTCCATTATGGACCTCGATGCTGATGCTAACGAGGCCAAGACGAAGCGCTACGTGAAAGTGGTGCCCATGACAGTCTATGTGGCTCTGGCGGCCGAGGCGACGGCCTGCGTGCTCCTAACGGCCACCTTCAATACCTTCCACGTCGAGACGTTCTTGACCGAGTACAAGCTCGACCTCGCCTCGTATGCGTCTGGCCATGTGCTCTACGCCGTCATCAACACGCTCAACGATCTTGTTGGCGCCTACGTTGTCGACACATGGGCCGCGACCAAGGTAGACCGATCGGCTCCGGCTTCGCTCGATGCTGGGCGTAGGGCCGCGCGTGGCTCATGCTCTGCGGCGGGTGCGTCTGGTCGATCATGTTTCTCTTGCCGTGGTTCCCATGGCGCGCGCACCCCGCTCTGCACTTTGTCGTGAGCCTCTCGTGCTACGATACGCTCTACTCGTTTTGCGCGATCGCTGGGGGGTCGCTCTTGACCGAAATGCACGTATCGGACCGCCAGCGCATCCAAGTACACACCTCTCACATGCCGTCGATGGCCTCATGGCGAATGCAGATTCTTCGGGTCAAGACGGTCGTCGGGATGGCGGCAGCCTTTGTCGTGATGCAACTCGGACAGTACTACTTTGCCGACAAGACCGCCTTTCGCGCCTACTGCGTGGCTCTCACGTCACTCGCCGCGGCGCTCTACGCTGTTTTTTACAGCTTGTTGCAGACACGGTCCGCGTCGAATCTCATCGCGAGGCCGCGGGCTACGTCGTCGACACCATCGTCGCTGAGCGTCGCCTCGATCACGGTGCTTCTCAAGGACTTTTACCATCTTCGGAACTTTCGGTACTGGCTCGGCATGGAAATGTGTCTGGAAACGCAGAGCAACTTCAACCGGCACTACTTGCGTATCTTTCTCGTGCACTTTGCCGCGGGTCTCTGGTCCCCAACGACAATCGCGTCCGTGATTGCCGGTCTCCCTCTTCTCAAGCAGCTGATCAAGCTTGTTGTCTTCTCGGTCATGGACCGCATCGGCGTCTACCGGCTCTACCATGATTCCTTTGTGACCAAGCTGGTCGCGGCGGTATGGACCCTGTCCGCAGTCCACACTCTGCCGCACCCGAGCGCGTTCTTGGTCGCGTTTCTCTTGCTCAATATGGTCGTGACCGAGCTCCCCACGGGCGGGTTTCCGATTGCGATGAGCAACATGCACAAGGAGCTGAGTCTCCGGCGCCAGCAGACGGGCCGCGGCGTCGTCGCGTCGTCGTCGGCCATGTTTATGGGCCTGAACGCGGTCTTTTGCAAGCCCATGGACTCGCTTCTGCCCATTCTCGCCGCGATGCAGCTCGACGCCGCGGGTTTCCAAGCCAACAAGACGACGCCGGCGGTGTCGGTCGCCATGACGCGGCTGCTCGTGTACCCGCCACTGATCTTGTCGCTGCTGCAGCTTTGGAGCTGGCGGCGCTATACGCTGGATGCGACGCACGTTGCGTCGATCGAGCAAGCGCTGAGCACCCCAACCGGCAGCCGTCACGACGCTAAGCAAGTGGTGTAGGCCTCAAGTCCAGTTTTGTGGCTGAAGTTGGATGACATTTGAACAAGGTCGACGAAGAATGTTCCTGCGCATACTAATAAGCAACGTGGGACGTAGTAGCCGCGTACTGTACATCTCGTGCATGGCACTCCCATTAAGCGCAAAGCACACGCATCCATACGCACCAACAGCCTCCGAGTCATTGTCTTTGTCCGTCACAAGACAACCTTTCCACCGGTGCCGTCCTTCGCTGTGTAGACCACGAGAACGGTCTTGGATGGGTGCGACGGCGTGCCCCGGGGTCTGCGTGCAAAAGACAAGCCGCGTGTTCTCTTCGAACTTCGCAGCGGAAAAGAGGCGGCGCCGGAACGCGCGTCGACAGTTCCCTCTGCCGCACTTTCTACGAACTTCGATTTCGCGCGTCGTTGATTGGTGCCCAGGTGACTGCGCAGCGCACGCCATCGGCTCCGCACATCGAATTCGATCGAATTCTGCGCCGAAGGTCGAATGCTGCAGCATGTGCCGGTCTTCCTCCAGAAGACGTACGACATGATCCAGAACTGCCCCGAGTTCATCGCGACGTGGTCGACGTCTGGCGAGACCTTCATCATCAAGCGCATCAACGAGTTTGCGGCCGAGATCCTCCCGCGCTACTTTAAGCACAACAACTTTTCGAGCTTTGCGCGCCAGCTCAACTTCTATGGCTTCCACAAGGTGAAGAAGGAGGACATCCTTCTCCGGACGCGCACGCCCAACGCGCCGGACGCCGCGCTCGAAGCCCAGGGGTGGTGGGAGTTCTCGCACCCGCTCTTTGTACGCGACGAGCCCGAGAAGATGGCGAGCATCCGCCGCAAGACGTACGCGGACTCGGCGCACGTGCATCATAACAATGCCTCGTCGTCCGCGTCCGACAACAAGTCGGAACTCGAGGAGCTCAAGGGCTTTGTGAGCGAACTCGTCGACGACATGAAGGGCGAGCTCGCCTCACTGAAGAGCCAAGTGAGCATGCTTGCTCACCACATGTCGTCCATTGGCTCGCTCATGCAGATGATCGTGCAGCAGCACCAGCAGCAGCAGTCGTCGATGGCGATGCCGCACCATTTGCCCGCGCCCATGCAGCACATGCCAGCGAACGACGACTATGGCCACCAGCCGCTCAAGCGCCGCAAGATGGAGCATGCGAGCACCGCGTCGTCGTCACCACCGACCGCGTCGCCGGCCATCCTGCTGCCACCGCTCAACTCGATCCGGCACCACATCAAGGCCGACGAGCAACCGCCGCCGCAGAACCATCACTTGGACGAATCGGAGGCGAATGCGGCCTATCTTCTGTACCACGCCCGCCGCCACGACCCACCGCCGATGCAGTGAGGCGTCATTTAATTTTAACCAACTTTTGTACTCTGCCGCGGGCGCCCGAGCAATCGTCTCGCGCCCTGCAATGTGTTGCAGAAACTGCTCCGTCGCGAGGAAAGGTCGCGACAGAGAGCTTGTAAGATCGCGTGACGTATGAGCTCCAACACGCCGAGCGAAGAGCTGCGCGATGCCATCTGCGATATGCGCGGCGACGACCTCGAAGGGTTGCTCGACCAAGGCGCCGACGCCAACTACGTGGACGAGGAAAGTGGGTGGGCCCTTCTGCTGTGGGCCGTCAAGACCAACCAGCCGAGAGCCGTGGCCACCTTGTTGGCCCGTGGTGCCAATGTCAACGCCGCCGGTGCGTACGATTGCCCCATGCATTCCAGCACACACCTGTGTAGATCCCAGCGGCAACACGGCGCTGCACAAGGCTGCGTATTTGGGCCACGCAGAGTGCGCGACGCTGCTCTTGGCGCACGGCGCTAGCGCTGACCTCCACAACAAGATGCAGCAGACTGCACGGGACCTCGCACTCCTCTTTGAGAAGCCCGAGATGGCCGTCCTCCTCACACAGTAATGCTGGCACCACGCGTCTTTCTTAATCGTGTATGACGGTGTCGAACTTGCTTTTGAGTACGTGCAGCGCGTAAATGGCTTTGCCGTGGGACGGTGCCAGCGTGAGCACCTTGGTAAACTAGAAAGCCACCGCCGTCACTCCGAGGAGGCATCTTTCGTCGACATACCTTGGTGGCCGCGGCATGCAAGTCCCCCATGTGCCAGTCGGCGAGGCCATGGTTGTACAAGGCAGGGACGCACGTGGGCGCGATCGCGACGGCCGACGAGAGGATGCGCTGGGCGTCGGCAAACTTGCCTTGGCTCAAGCACGCGCTTGCGAGATTGACGCGAATGGTGGCAAACGAGGCGCCTATCGGACGTGACGACGAACGCTACGCAAGTGCGACGGTGTACTTGTGGGAACGTCGAGGGCTAGGGCATAGCTCTCTTCTGCCAGCTCCCACTCGCCCGCTTCCTGGTGCGAGAGGCCGGTGCAGTAGTGGACTTGGATCGTACGCAGGTGCGCTGTCTCTGCCTCGCGCGCTTCGTACGCGGCGCTGAGCGCGGCGCTGTTGTCAACGTCGCGGGGCTGGGTGCGCGTCGCCGTCTGCACCTGAGACGGTGTGAGAAGGTTGCGCCGAAAGTACCGCTGCAGCGTCATGGCTGCATGGTGCTCGAGCAGTGATGTTGGCTTGTGCTTGGGCGGTGAGATACTCTCCTTCGGAACGTCGCTGGGTGCCACCGACGGCCTTGACACCATCGATTTCGTAGGCTTGGACCGAGGTCGCTTGGCCGTGGCTTCCATTGGCAAATGCATGCGCGCAGCCAGTGCTATTGGCTCGACAAAGAGCGGCGCGGCTTTGTACGCTCCCAGCGTCGGCGTCGACTTTGTGTGCGGCTCTGCCAATTGTCGTTTGTTCCCGATGGCCGTGCGTGGGTGGCACTCGTCCGGTGCCCACTGGCGCACGGCGACGAGTGGCACGGTTGTCGCCCGCGGCACTTCAACGAGAGGTGTCTCTGGCCGGTCGCTCAGCGCACAGTCCGGGCTCAAGTGCGGCATCTTGGGCGTTGAGAGCACGCGCCGCAGCGGCGAGTTGGACGTCATCGGCGCTCGGCTTTGCTCGGCGAGGCGGATGGACTTTTTCCTCAGAGCCGGCGTGTGCAAGGGCGGTGGCTCGTCAAGCTCGAACGCTTCATGGCGATGTTTGCTACACGACGTCTCTGACGGTAGCCACAGCGGTAGGCGCTGGGTGGCGCTAACGGTCGGCGGCGGATTTCGAGGCAGCGTCGTTAGAATGACGTCGGGAGCCACCGGCCGGTGGTCGTTGAAGTAGGCTATCTGGTGGTTCTGGTCCGTTTTGTGGTGTCTACTCGTGCATCACGTTGTGCGATGCAAGAGCAGAATGTAGTGCGTACTTTAAGCTCGCTTGCACGACCGACATGTGCAGTTGGAAGTGCTCTTCCTTTGGGTGCAGTGCCATCGTCTTGGCAATCAGCGCCATGGGACACTCCTACATCGTCGAACCGCCCAGATCACTACACGCGCCGTGTCGTCGTAGTGTACCTTGAGAAGCAGCTCGACGTAGTCGTCCGAGTACTTGCAAAAGAGGCTCAGCGCTTGGGCAATTTCCGTCTAAAGCACTTCAAAAGTCAACGCACGTGTGTGCTAGGACGCATTACCTGAAGCGGCGCGTGAAAGCGAAACTCTCGCATCGCGAGCAGCAGCAGCGCGAGGCCACCCAGGGACGCAAACGCTTGGTACGTCGCCGCATCGTCATGCCGGAGGCGTCGAAGGAGCTGGCCAATGCCCTTCATTTGCGCATCAAGACAATAGCGCTGCTTGGTAAGCAGCTCGACAATCGCTGTACATGCAGTTTGTTCGATATTGCACAGTGCAATGTGGCGGCGTGTACCTGGAACGTCCGTGCCCATGTCGCCGTGAGGATCAGTCATGGGCATGGCCAAGTAGGCTGGCGACGCGGTGCGTGAGAGGCCTCGCGTGAGCTTCACGGGCGAGTTGCGTCGGAGGAGTGCGTTCGGGACCTTTGCCGGCGCCGTGTCCTTGGTTTTGGCGGCGGTCTCGAGGATGTCGAGGAGAAACCCCGTGACAGTCGACGCCTCGCGCGTCACGAGGTCACCGCCGGCACTTGTGAGGTCCAGCTTCTTGGGGCTCCGCTTCGACCCGAGGCCCATGAGCCCGCGCGACGACATCGAGTGCGTCAGCGGCATCGCGCCGGCACGAGACGGCGTCCAAAAATAGGCTCTCAAAAGACAATATGTGCACACGAGTCTCGTCACACTTTCAATGATATCAGATATTACGTTGATGTAAAGTATTAGCTCCCCAAGTGGCCCTAACCCATGACCTCGCCGACCGCAAGTAGGACCGCAATCGTGCTTTGACCCTTTGGTGCAACGTCCATCGCCAACTTCCGAGGGTTCGCCTCGTTGCAGGAGCCACATTGCTCAGTATATATGTACGCGTAGCGCAGAGAATCAATGCTCTAGAATAAAGAGTATTGGTTCGTCCTTCGGCAGCGGCTCGTCGTCGTTCATCAGCGCAAAGTTGCTCGGGTCTGTCTCACATTTTGATGGGCTTTGTGGTTATCCGGTTGTATATCCGGATACAGTTTGGGAGGACCAGGGGAGGGGGGCCTATCAATTTCTCTGGGAAGGGGTCGAAATTCGAACGCGGGGCGATGCTGAATCGCCGCCAGAGCCTGCGCCCGCGGGCGCTGGACATCCACTCGCGCATTCGGATCATCCGGTCGGATGAAGACATCGTTATGGAGGA